GATACTTTCATTTCTAAAATATCATATCTAAAATCGACTGCATTATTGGTTTTACCTTAAATTGCTAAGGGTTTGTTGTGTCAGGTTATCGATAATCTACTTGTAATATTTCTAACTCTGGAATAAGTGAATATTCAACTAAAACTACTTCATACTTTAACGTTAATAAGTGTTACAAGAAAAAAAAGATCTAATATTTCTAACTTTAGCGTTAATAAATAATAAGTTAAGAGTTATTCTCATTCTATTGTTAATATTTTTAATTCTAACATTAATGAATACTAATAGTATCATTAACTCTGGTATTGATAAATATAAATGTTCCTAACTCTAGCATTAGTAAATATTAAGATGATATTTCTAATTTTAGTATTGATTAATATTACTTAAAATTTAAAATTCTTGACTCTAACATGTGAAATATTTGTGTGTATGTGTATTGCACCTACAAATTACATATAGTTTACAAATTTATAGTTTGGCTTATGGTTTGATTGTATACATTGCATCACTAATATCATAAATTTTCTAGTCATATATTAGAGTATTTGAGGGTATGCTTTAATGAAAGAGATGTGTTTTTGTAATATAACATATATATTCCATACTATAATAATCCTGAAGAAAGAATTTCAAGATATTAAATTAATTGCTTCCAAATTAATATAGGGTTGAAAAATGAATACACATCAACATTTCATTTCTTTTTATGATATATATTACAATTCCACATGATACATGAAAGAAGGAAAAGAAGAAAAAAAAGCAATAATCAATAAAAAAAACTCAATCAAATACAGAGTTATTTTTTATCTTGAATTAATTTTATTAATGGGTGTCAAACAATTTCTTTCAAAATAATAAATAAATAATATCTTTAATTAAAATAAGAAAATTTTTGATATATGTCAAAATGTAAAGAATGTCATAGAAAACAAGTTTACTTTGAACATGATTTCTATTTTACCATTTTTCTTCAAAAGAAAAATAATATAATTTGAACACACTTTTTAGTATTTTGAGTTGGAAAAACATTCTAAAACTCTAAGAAAGTAACATGTTTTTATTATTTTTTATTTGGAAAAAAAATGGAAAGGGTGAAAAAAATTGAAAGTAAAAAAGGAAAATTGCTTCTCTATTCTCTATTTGGCTAGGAATTGGCTAGAGTTTTCATCTTGCATTCATTTTGAATTTGCAATATTGTTGAACTTAATGTTTTTGTTGTTTTTATGGCGGTGGAGTTATTTTTATTATTGTTATAATTATTTGGGCTGAAATAAACTTGCAGGAGCAAAACGGTCCAAAAAGGAACCACCAGCTAGAATCACTAATTAAGCCCAAGGGACCAATGACCCATATAAGAACTTGGATCCGCATTCATGTGAATAAGAAAAATAAATAAATCCATATATAAAAATGCATAATACATCTTTCTAGTAAGCAACGGGGCCATCATGACATGACAAAGACGATCATCCCTTCATTCCGGTCACCTTAATTCAACCAAAACAACCAAATTAATTCACGAATCGGACCAAATCAATCATTTCATGGAAGAATCAACATTATAGAGCCACGACCACCTTCATTCGAAAATAATAATAATAATAACAATAATATGATTTTAGATAAAGAAATATAAAAAATCAATTAGATTTTGATTGAGTCACCAAGTTAATTCAATCATCTTAGAAAATTCAAAATTAAACTCGGTTGGAAATATGCCCCAGGTTTTCGGGGTCCACCAGAATTTGATAGCTATGGCATCCATGCAGAAAGTTATTGCGAGGAAAAACAAATATGTTCCCTTGAAACTAGAAAATGGTCAGGATTAATTTTCCAATTCGATTTGATGGTTAATTATAGTACTATTACCTATACAAATGAGAGATTTGAATTTTCCAGTGGAGCTTCAGTATTCATACTTTTATTTTATTTTTTGAATCTTTATTTTTTTATTTGCTGTCATTTTTTTTAATTGAGTTCTTTTACCATCTAATTAGATAAAATAAAGTTTGAAATTGTATTAGGAAGAAAAATTAAAAGAAAGAATGCTTAAATGTAAAGCATGGAGAAAATATAATATTAAAAATAATTAATTATATATTAAAAATATATATTAAAAACATTTTGACTCCAAACATTTTCAAAGTGATTATAAATTTGATTTTGATGTAAAAATTTATTTTTCAATTTTTTTATTTAAAAAAGAATGGAAAGACTCATTGAAATATAATATTAAAAAGAAATTTGTTAATTATTATGATTCTAGTGATCAAAATAATCAAGTTTGGAGTCAAAATGTTTCACTTAATTAAAAGAGTTTAATTATTGTTATTTTTAAATTTTATTTTCTATAGATTTATAAAGTATTTTTTAAATGTTTTAACATGAACAATTAGTTAAAAATAGATATTTTTTTTGTTAGAAACCCCAAAATCCAACCTTCCAGTGGGTTTCCAACTACTTAAAATGAGGTAGCCGAAAACTAAGCAACAAAATAAGAAGGACAACATATCATTTGCTTTATATTGAATTTTATAAAATTTAAACCTAGTTGGGGTAGTTGACCAAGCACTCTGCTTGACTTGCTAGGCCAAGTAGTGACCAGCCTCTCCCAGCTTCTGATTCTCTTCTTTTTTTTTTTAATTATTTTTTTTGTAAAATTTTTAGCTAATAACCTCCTTTTATGTATTTTAAGATTATATATTCTTATTTCAATTTAATTTAATACCTCATCTCTCTTATTTTTTAAATTATTCAGTTGATTTTTTTAAATAATAGTTATTTTTTCAATGATTTTGTATTTTTAAAGCTATTGTAATTTATATTTATATTTTTTATTTTATTTTATATGTGTTACAAATAATAATAATTTTTAATTTTTAAAATATACAATATCAATATTTTTTTCATAATAAATAATGTTACCTACTAACTTAGATGTTCAAGTTAGCTTATTTGCATATCGATTCATTTTTAAAATTCTAAAATTAATGAAATTTAATGATTATATAAGTTTTTAGAACCCATGAAATTTATAAAATTTAAATTGATAAACTTCAAAAAATAAACACATAATTTAACCAGTTAAAGTGCATGGAGAGTTAATACACTATAGGTAATGGATTAATCTCTTCTGGTATAGGTACTCAATTGTTTATTTATCCTGTATGGGCTTACAACTAGGTTAATGTTTAAATGTAGTATGGGTACTCAATGGTAGGTCTTCTTCAGCCTGCTACTCTTATAAAATTGTTGGCATTTTCTAGATTGCATTAATTATTAACAGAAAATAAAAAATGTGTGAGAAAACAACTGTGTTGGTACTGTGGATCAAGACTCTCCACATTATGGACTTGCAAAATTGCTCATCGCGCCTCTCTATATATCTCCTCGGCTGTGGGGTGATTTTGTCTTGGCCATAATAAACTCCATGCCTCTTTATCTTTCCGGCTGTGGGTTGATTTTTTCTAGGCTGCGATATTTTTCAGGTTTGGGGACTTTATTCTGGGCATCCATTGGTTCTTCAAGCTCTATTAGCGCTTGGGTCCAGTTGGCTGAACGGAGTCGTCGCGTCTTTTTCTCTTGCTTTTCTCATGGTTTTGATTAGTGATGGCAATTTAATACAACTATGATGGGTTCCTACACAATCCAAATAAATGCGTGTTTTATGGATATTTATCTTATTTGAAGAGGAGATATGAATATTATTAAATTAAAAATTTATTTAATATATATTTATATTATATAGATATATTTAAAAATAATTAGGTTTTTTTTAATATAATATAATATATACATATTTTAATTTTGATAAAACATATACGCGTGTTTATGTGTTTGTGTATAATAATAGTGTGTATATATAATATTTATAATTTTATCTGTGTATAATAATAATGTGTATATATAATATTTATAATTTTATCTTAGTTTTTCTTACCTTTTGTTATTTTTTTTAATTACTAAACACACCCAAAAACTAGCAGCTAAAAAACCCTATATTACAAATAAAATAAAAAAAACTACCCCAATAAATAAAAATAAAAGCTCAACATCATAAATGATCATGCGCATAAATGGTATTGAGCCCAAGACAACAACTTTGTAGTTTTATATTATTCATAATATCATTGGAGTGAGTTTTTCACTATGTAGATAGTTTATATTGTGAATTATTATAGTAAAATTAATTATTTATCCTTGAGTGAAAAAATAATAATCATGAGGTTAGGGATGCTTTCGTCTTTTTCACTAATTTATTAGTTATTAAAAAATTGTTTAAGGATGTCTAGGTTTTTTGTTAATAGTAAAAATATTTTTACCCCTTAATTTACTATTTTTGTACAACTAATTTTTGTTTAAATTCATTTTTTGATATTTAATTTGTTAAAAATTTATTTTTTTATTATCTTAAATAATATTTTTGAAGTATTTGACCTTTCATAATATATGTTTTTAGGATGCAAGTTTATTCATTCAGTTTTATCTATATTTATTTTTTAGATTATGTATTTTTTATAATATAAATTTATTTTTTATTAATTTAAATAAACAAGTTCAGTGAATATATTTGGATGAATATCTAATTTTGTGTGATTGAATATCTTGATTGATATTTATCTTTTAATTTTTTTAATTTTTTTTATTATTGTTAATGATTTTTTTTGGTTTATTTACATAGATAATTATCAATTTATTTAATTAGATACTTATATAAACTTTTCAATTTGCATTTTAAAATTTTTATATAATAAACTTATCGAACTAACTTTACACCTAATATTATTTTAGAAAAAAAAATTATAACCCCAACAGGTTGCGGGATATGTATATATATTGATTGTAATTTAAAGCCCACAAGGCAGGCATGTCATAGAGGAATTAATCCATCTACTTCATAGCCGTTCCAAGTAGGTAAGATATATAACAGTTTGGTAAAGCGTGGTTGCAAGATAGATTGTCGAAATTAAATTATGCTTCAAGTCGTGCCAGACTAAGAAAACAGAAGAATAAGTTTATGAATTAAAACTGTTGTTCATTATAGACGCCAAAGGGTAGCAACAAAAGTAGCAAATAATATAAAATGTATAGTATATTTACATGGAGAACTGGAGCTAATAGTCTCTGATCTCCCATAATCATGGTATGTGGTTGGCATTCTTGCAAGGGCTTTAGTTCGATGTGAAAATTGGAGTTAACATCCGACATGTTCTCTATGGAGGAGTCACGCTCTCAAACTGATTGCACCCTCTAATGTTGACCTGCACCACACTGTTCAGCCCGACTTCTCCCTTGATTACCTCGCAGCACTGTCTACGTGGTGCCTGATAGTTCAATTATTTTTCAAACGTGTTAGACACTAATGGTTTTACAGATCCATCCAAGATATCAAACAGCCGATGTTTACTATGCATCAATACAAAAATATTCAACACATCTTTTCATATTTCTAGCACCAATTGCGCATAAATTGATGAGTGGCGTATAAAAAAATATTGACATGTGGTTTGAACGTTTGTGCGTCCAACATTCCTTAGAGGGGGGTCCACGTTGCAAAGCTAATTAGATTTTGCTATGGTTGCTAAGGTGTTAAATTTGTTTCGAGAATGAGAGAGACAGTCATTGCCTTCCGCCCAGTACCCAACTAAATTAAGGGTATCACTTTCCTACCTTAAATTAAGGCTATCGGACTTGAAAAATTTGACCTAACGTGCCCACCAAATCTTCTGTAGGCAAACAAATTGGAAGCCATTTGATTTGGGTTTTCAGTTTTAAAGTTTTTCAAGGAATGCTAAAAGAGAAAAGTAGCTCACCAAATTCCAAATCTCAGGTTTCAACGATGTAGAAGTTGTGACATTCACTAACTTGACGGCCAAAACTGGAGCATACTCCGGTAGGTCGCAAACTTGACCAAACTCTTGCACAGACCTTTTATACGTGGTCAATGTACCATCCCCTACTCTTTCAACCCGATCCAAGAAATACACAACTGGTCTTAGACACGGATGTTGACTCATGGGTCGGGTGTTAAATGTGAATGGTCCATTGCTCCAACTCCTCCACGTCTGAAACGTTCTGAACGCGGATTCCAACTGCTTTGCCGTCATCAAAGAAGGATGTATCTGTATGGTGTAACCCCAAGATGCTGAAACAGACCAATTACGCGTCAAATCATAACAAAAACTATATTGTAAAACCCGACCCGGATCCATTTTATAAGAAGATATTAACTTCTTGACTGAGTCAATGCGGTTCAGCTTTGGAAATATTGACTGGACGTAGTCTAGATGGTGTAAGGACACCAATGGCGCCAATGGGTGCGCTGCCAGTAAACCATATGGATCTCCTCTAATATCAACCTGTGAATTAATCATCATCCATTGCAAAAGAAAACAATAAGAATTAATGGAAAAAAGAAACGTATAGAAAATCAATCTGTAACAAAATTTAACAATAAGAATTAATGGAAAAAGAAACGTATGGGAAATCAATCTGTAACAAAATTTACAATTAGCACGGGATTGTATGGTTCTAGAGAGAGAACATTTAAAAAAATGAAGTAACTAACCTGATGGAAGAATTAAAAAAAAAATGAAGTAACTAACCTGATGGAATCCGAGCTCTTTAGTAAGAGGAACTCCAATCTCACTCATGCAACCCTGAATTTTCTGATCAGAGCCGTATAACGACGCATACCGATCAATACAGCTATCCAAAACCCTGACGAGTTCTTTTGCTAGTGGATAACTGATAGCAAATCCACCACCACCGTATGCCATTGTATATGAATGTATCACATCTTGCTCAACACTCTCCGAATTGCCGCCGATGTAATACATCTGATTATGATCGTATTTTGCTAATACCATTACCAAATTCTCTATGAAAAATACTGTATCATCATCTCCCATCACGAACCATCTCACATTTTCCTCTCCTAATTCAAAGCTCTCCTTCACTATCCGCGCAATCCGTAGCGCTGACCGAGAGCCATACGAGCAGGTGTACTTGAACCGTGACGTGTCGGCTGAGACTTTGTACTCGGGTGAGGTTTCTGGCCACGTTACATTCTCTGGAGGTTTCTGGTCGAGCCAGACATAGCCACGGGTGATGTTAGGCATCCACCATAGCTCAGTATAGTGCCTGCGTTTATTCCACATCTTTGCGGAGCCACCAATGCCGAATAAAATTTGTGAAATATTTGTCTTCTCATAGAAATGACCAGAAACATTACCTTTTGTTATCTTCCTGTGATCAGAGATTAAACTCTTGTGGCATTCTGGGCAAGGTTGCCATTGAGATTGATTGAGGAAGGAGTAGAACACGAGGGAGATTGAAACGACGGTGCAAATAGCTATGGTTGCTTTTAGAAATAAAGAAAAGACATCACTGACTTTTAGCGTCGGCAAAACCAAGAATTTCCATGCTTTGAAAGGATCTTGAATGGATGGTGTTGGAGATGACATTTTTTCCCCTGAAAGATAAGAGTTTCAGAGAGAGATATATTGGTTTTTGATAAAGAAGAAAATAAGGAAGAGTTTTATGTAAAGTAGATTACGTACTTTAGTTTTTGTCGCCTTGATGGTTGCCTTTTTGAAGGGGATTTTTTTAAGTGAAAATCTATGAATTAGTTGATCATGATAATAACACTACGAATCTTTCAAAGTTTTTTCTTTTCCTAACAAACAGAGAAGTGGCAGGCACATTTGTCTTTCCGAGGGTCAATACGTCAATTCCAGTAATTTAGGTACGCGAGATCTTTTCCAAGGATAAATTAGAAAATTAGCATGCAAGATCAAAATAGTTGGTGAATCAATATAGGAGCAAAAACTTTTAGTGAAATAATATTTTTTTACCTCATTTTTACTAGTGATTATTATTTAGTTATTACACTTCTAAATAGTCATATTTAATAATTACTATATTTTTAAAGTATAATAAAATAAAACTTTAAATATCTAGTTTTAGCCGATTGATTGATTTAAATGGTCAATGAAGTTCATTAATCAATTTAAAAAATAACATGAAAAATTTCAAAACTATTAAAATTAAAAGTTTTAATGAGATTTGTGATATCTAAAAATTTGATGGTATATGTAGTGATGCATAGTCTATTATAAAGAAAATGACCTCCAGAAAATTATATAAAAATTTAAGTGTGATTTATTGCTGGATAAAAAATTATAACCCTTTAAAGCCTTTAGTCTAATTTGACATCATCATACCTCATTTTGAGTTTAGACTTGTCCCACTAGTTAAAAAATATATATGTTAGGCCATCTACATAATATGTATTTGGTTAAAAATACTTTTGAAATTGAGGTTATAAAATAATTTTAAAAAATATATATTAATATTGATGGTTTTTAATTTAAATATTGTAGATTTAACCATTACTATTATATCATGAAATAAATAATACTTTATGTAAAATATTTTTTTTATTATTCTATTAACCCATCTATAATTCTATTACGTACTAAATTCATCCAACAAGAACTACAATTTTATAATTTTTTGAGCGTGAATAAATTTAGATAAAATATTATTAGAAAAAAATTAATTTGATATTATAGTGCGAGTAAATTTAATTCACTCTACACTTTTTTTTTTGGAAAAACAAATTGTTCTATGACAACACAAGTGAATTTAATTCACTCTAAACTAGTTTTTTTTTTAATGTACAAAAAATAAACACATTAAAAAAATTCATGCAAATAGTATAACTGAATTGTACTATTCATTGTTTTAAGTTAACATTGAAGAAACACTATTTACTAAAACACGGTTTGAAGAAAAGCAGTCAGGAGTTGCTTCGTCAAAATCGTGTTGCAAACATGAATTATCATGGGATCCATAAAAAATAAATTGTGTTTTTTACATAACCAAACATTTATTTTGCTATCATTGCTGAAAACGAAGAAGCGAGCATGCAAACAAACAATCTCGATCTCATTGATTAACATTGGAAAATAAAAGAGAACTACTATAACTTTTTTATATTTTAATTGAAGTTTATTTTCTAGTTTACAAGTTGGATAAAAATATATGTTTTGACTCATAAAAAATATCTAAATAAAAAATTTCATTAAATTATAGTTTTTATATAAAATGATCAACTAGTTCATATAATTGAATCCAACTAGATCACTAATTGGACTAGATGATTGGAGTTTCACTTTGTTACTCTTCTGAAGAACGATAAGATGAAAATATATTATTATTTTGTTAATTTTTTTAAATGATGTTATTTTACTAATTTTTTTAAAAACTATATTAATTTTTGAAAAACGTCCCCTTTTCAATTATTGACATTGTACTTTTTATGTAAAAGGCTAGTTACTTCTTTTAAGGAAAAACATTATTGTTGTAAACTATTAAGGTAGTGTTTAAAATTATAGTTGTGGTAATTTTTTAAAATGTGTTTTGATTAGAAGTCTATTTTTTATAAGTAAAAATTTGAAAAAAAAACATAAATATAAAAAATTTTCAAAAGTACTTTTAGTGCATTTCAACCTTAAATTAGGATGCTAATGAAGTGGATTTATGTAAGCTAAGTTGTGGTAATTAAGTTAGCTAAACACAAATGGTTAATGTTTCAGGTTTGTTGCTAAAATTACATGAATTGTTCTTCAATAACATAAACATAGTCTGACATTAATCCAAGTAGTTTCGGCCATAATAAAGCTAACCAAAAAAAACTTATTTTACGTTTTGTCAAATCACATTAATTTCCATGAAAAGAAAATATCACATTAATTTATTCAAGTTTTCCAAACCTATTTATAGGTTTTCTAATTCCCTAATTAGAAAACCAATATATATATATATACAACTCTGTCTATGTTTGTTTCCAACATATTTTTCTGTTCAATACATGTTTTTTTCTTAAATATATCATAATAAATACATGAGCATAAATTACACTGCGAATTACATATAGCTTATAAATTTATTTTTAACGAGAAAACTATTATATCCAAGTTTAACGTGTGGATGGGATAATGGGAGCATTGGGTGCTTGTCTCTACACTTCGTGTCAATCAGCGAGATGGTGGTGGTTTTATTACTACGAAGTCCTTGAACTATAGGTGATATTCCGATTGGATTCTTAAAGAAAGAGGAAAGGAATTGGAAAAAATCTCAATTTAGTCCAAAATTTATTTCACATTTTTAATTGAGTCTTAAATATGTAATTTCTATCAATTTCATCTCATATATTTAAAAAACTTCTCAACCGGGTTTTTTTTGTGCATATTTATCAACAATTTCATCAATTTTTCTTTAAATTGATGTCATTTTAATGGGTAAATATCACAATAGATGAAAGGTTAATGTTCATTAAGTTTTTTTAGAATAATGTTATTCAAAGTGGCATCATTCTGGTGCATCAAAATATACACATTAGACTTGCACTACTACAAGAATATGACAAAAGAATGTAATTAACTAATGTCGAGAAGATTTGGGACTAAAACAAAGTTTTTTCAAAGAATAGTACTTTAGTGGATGTCGTTAGTATGGTGACATGTGATGTTTACTAAAACTTTGATAAATTAAGATAATCCCATCAAGATATTATTTTAATATTTTTTTTATTTTTTTTGAGGTGATAAAATTTAAAGTACTTGTACTTTATCATTATTTCTATTTTAGTATTTATATGAATTTGTTTTATTAAAATACATGTATTATAGTTTTTTGCTAAATCAAGCACCTCTTTTAGTATTTGTTACAAATATACTAATAGAAACTTATCTCCATGCAAACTAGGCTAAGTAGTAGAAATTGACAAAGATAAATGGCGTATGTGCATGTACTTCATGGCATATCCTATATTGGGTTTAGTATTGGGTAACATATAAAAAATTATCTCAACTCAAAAAATAAATACTTAGATAATATTTTAAAATGTAATTTTTATTATTCTTTAATAATAACTATCTCTCTCCCATAGATTAAATATTAAGTGTTTAGCCTGAAATAATATAATATTTTTTAAATGACCGCAGTATATGAAGCCAAATTAAATTATTTTTCTATTATGGGTAGTATCTTTTTTTTTTCTTTCAGTTTTCAAATGTAATATCATAACTACTCGAGTGCTTCCACGAGTAACTATTTAAAATTTATTTTTAATTTAATTATAAAATAAAAAATAGATATTCACTGGAAAGACAATGAATAAAATTATAGGAAAAAATGTGTTTTCATAATTTTCTTTTTTGATTCATATAGTTTTTTTTATTGTTTTGATAGTTTTTTTTTTAATTAGAGGCATAGTTCATTGAATAAAAAGTGATAGAAATCATAAGTGAAAAAAAGGAGAAAACTTATATTTTAAATTAAAAACAAAAATTTCTTATTCATGATTTTTTTAACAAAAACATATTTTTTTATTATAAAAAGCGTTGTTTTTGAAGTAAAAAACTTATTATTTATTATAAAAAACGTTGTTTTTGAAGTAAAAAACTTATTATTATAGTTAAAGAAGGTACCAATTCAAAATTATAAAATTATGTATCAATCATTCTTCATACACTAACATGAAAAAAATTAGGAAAGATAAATTTGGGTAATTATATAAAACAATTATAATAAAAGAATTGATATTTTATTCTAATTTCATATTAATGAGAACAAGCATTTTAAGAAGTCTAAATATTAGGCCAATACATAATTATTTATAAAGCAATTGATAATATTATAATAACAAATGCCTATTCTTATAAAAAATAAAGACATAATTTAAGAATCACTTAAATATTATTAAAATAAATTAATTTAAATAATTTTCTTGTAAAAAAACACAAGAAAAAAAACAATAAATATACATAAGAAGGCCAAGTGTGCCTAGCTTCAGAAAAAATTTTTAAATACACAGAGGTCTAAAAGGTTAGAAGGACACACCTAGTTGTTTTTAATGGGAAAACAACATACTCTGTCCATAATTATTGTTATGAAAAAAAAATATATGTTTTTGGCTAGACTCATATCTCCAAAAAAAATTCATTGACATCAATATTAACTATTTATAATATTTTTTTCGAGCCAAACCTCCACAACCATTAAATAAGAATCTTGTTATTATCAAGTATACCTTAACCTCCATCTTTCTCACTCTTTGTGTTTTTTAAGAAATGTTTTCAACTAATATAATGATTTTTGCTAGCCTTATCATCATTACCTAAGAAAAATGACCTCAAGATCTTTTAATGTACTTTCTAAACCTTTTGGAATTTTGAATGAAGATAAGTAATAGAAAGACAGATTTATTATAATTGATTTGATTAAAGTCACCTCGTCTAAAATGAAAATATAAGGATTTTTATATAGCAAGTCTTAATTTTATTATACTACCTTTTCATTTTATGTGAAATAGATTAGGTTGCAATTCACACTAGAGAATCATCCACATTGATCCCAGTTAGTGAATTTTTATGAAAGTTCATTATTAATCAATAAATAAAATTACATCAACAAAAATACTATTTAGATTTTGTAAAAATAATGAGTATAACATGTGATGGACGCTCTGGATATGGTTTATG